GGGGGGGGGGGGGCAGTGAAGCCCAAGGGAGCACTTCATGGCTTTGAGGAAAGTGGACCTGGCATGACCCAGGGCTTTTCTGGATGTGAGGATGAGAAGGCACTGTCATGGATGGAATTCAAGTTTCTAGTTCTGTTTTTGTGTGTCTTTAAGTCAGGAGGTGGACAGGTAGAATAAGATAAGCATCCTGAGTGAAAGGAAGAGTGGAATTTTTGCATGGCTCTTACCTAGTCTGATTAGTGGGGAATGTGCTAGAAGGTATGCTACTGGGCTTGGCTTGCCAAGGCTTAGGCCCTGGTGATTCCTTGTCCTTCCTGGCCTGGGGGGGTCAGTGGGCCTGGGTCTGCTAGGAGCGTGGGTGGATGACTGTTTCAAGACTGTTCATTGCTTCTGGAATGTGTTGGGATCTGGGAGCAGGGATACCTCAGCACAATCCACATTCATTTCTGTTCCCAGTTATGCCTGGGGTTTGTTGTGAAGGTGCTGGACGTGGAGCTGGTCTGTGAGGCCCTGCAGGTGGGTGTTGCTGGACCCAGGCAGGTAGTCCCCAGGGTGGAGGGCTGGGCAACATGGCCTCTTATCTCTCACTTGATCTCTCTTATTCTGCTCCCAGGTGGCTGTAACCTTTGGCCTGGGACCATTGCAGGAGCATTGCATAGCCTTCATAGAGGCCCACAGCCAGGTACAGCTCCCCCTTTTCATACAATTTCACACACCTCCTGCTCTCCCGTGACCCCATTCTTGGACCCACAGGAGGCCCTTCGGACCCGCGGCTTCCTGGAGCTGTCGGCGCCCGCGTTGCTGCCCCTGCTGCGCAGTGACAAGCTCTGCATGGACGAGGCTGATCTCATCCTGGCGGCCAGGAGCTGGGCGCGCGTGGGCGCGGTGAGCGCGGAGGGGGGGCGGCGAAGGGGAGCGAGGGCCGAGGGTGCTGAAGGATCAGGCCGCAGGAACCCGGCGAGCGGGCGGTGGGCCAGGTGCCCCCGTCCGCCGGGGCTCAGGGCTGGTGTTCGCAGGCGGTGCTGGAGAGGCCTGTGGCCGAGGTAGCTGCCCCGGTAGTGCGGGAGCTGAGACTGGCCCTGCTGGCCCCCGCAGAGCTGAGCGCCCTGGAAGAGCAAAACCGGAGGGAGCCACTCATCCCGGTGCGGACACAGGGAACCAGGCTCAAAGCCACTGAAAGGCGCGGGGTGGGGGCCCAGGGTCTTCCGGGTGAGGGGGGCGCTGCGGGACTCCCCCGTGAGTGCCTGGCCTTCCCCTGCAGGTGGAGCAGATCGTGGAGGCGTGGAAATGCCACGCTCTGCGCAGAGATGCGGCCCGAGGGGCCTCGTGCCGCCGCCGGAGGGGCACCCTGCCCCGGGAGCATCACCGCTTTCTGGACCTGCCATTTAAGTGACCGAAGGCCACGTCTTGCGAGGAATTCTGCGCCTGCCTAAACTACATCTCCCGACATGCTCGGCCCTCTGAGCGGGCTTCCGCTCCCGGCATGCTCGGTGAGCCGGGCGCGGGAAGAGCCGCGGGCTGCTGGGCGCGGAGCTCTGCGGGCGGGCGGAGGAGGAGGGCTAGGCTGGAGGAAAGGGCGTGGGCGTGGGCTGGGCCCAGCCTCCTGGCCACGCTGAAAACCGAAATCCTTTCCCCCGCACCGCACCCCGACTCTCCCCCGGGCCCCTGGGCACTCTCGTCCGCCCCGTTTACTTACAACCACCTCATAGCTTTTCGGCTCAGCCCCTTAGATCCCAGACCTGCATCCTGGAGATCTCTTTCTAAATGCCCCACGGATACCTCAGGCCCAGTTCAAAGCCGAGCTTCCTCGTCTTTGCCCAGGCCGATCCCAGCAGTGTTTCTCATGGCCTGGGCCCTGGGTTTCCTCCGGGCCTTATTCCCCTTCCTCACACCGGCTCCCCGCCTTCTACCTCGTCAGACACTGAAGGGTACGGCCTGCGCCGAGCTAAAATACGCCTTTTGGGCATAAGGGTTATTTTAAGCTGATTATTTTGAGAAACCGGAGAAGCTCTGAAAATAGAGTACAAGTTACCCTTTTGTAAGGGAAATTTCTATTTATAAAGGAAATCTCCTTTTGTAAGGGTGCCTCACTCTTCGTGCCAGGAAAGGGATGACTAACTCGGAAGCAGCTTATCAGTGAAGGTACCGCCGAAATCTGCCTGATAACCTTACCCGTGTTTACTGGGCTTTTCCTAGTGGCCCCCTCACTTTTCTTTCTTTTGTCTTTAGCCGAAGATGGTATCTAAGCGGGTGTTTTAGGCCACCTCAGGGAGCTACTCATTTCCCCCTGGGTATCGCCCATGTATACGTGAAGTGTACATGTTAATAAATTTCTGTTTGTTTTACTCTTATTAATCTGTTTTTTATTTACAGGGTCTCAGCCAAGAGCTCAGAGTTGAGGAAAAGTTATTTTTCCTCCTTTATAAGATCTTTACAGCAGTCTCAGCTCTTTCGGCCCCAGTTCAGTCAGTGCTCTCTGTGGCAGGAATTGCCCCACCAGACCCGTAGTTGGTCTTCTTGCCTTCATTCTGGCGCCCCTCCCCCAAACTCATTTCCCACAGTGCTGCCAGGCTTATCTAAGATTGTCAGCCCTACTCCCCTTATTAAGTTCCTCAACATCTCCATTGCCTGCACGACAAAACTTAATCTATTTTGCTTCCAGGGCACCCAAAATTTACTAGTGGCTTCAAATAATAGCAGTTTTTCTCTCAACAACTATGTTTTCAGGAATTCAGTGGTCCTGAAGGCACTAGTCCTCTAGCTCTGGATTTCCTCTCTTGGGTTATTGAAGACTCCCCATGCTAGTCTTTCATTTGTTACACATTTTGTCTTCCTGAGGATCTGAATCTCCCTGGAGAAGGATCCCTTAGGCCTGGAGTGGGACCTTATTAATTTCTGCTTCCCAGTCCCTATCACATAAATAGTGCTCTGTAAATGTTCAGTGATGACTTACCCCCACTTATTTAAATGCTATTTTATTGCATAAAGAGTTTAAAAGAACTGTGAAACAAAATACTGTCAATCTAACATGAGGGAGAATTGACTATTTGGAAGAAAATAAAGTTAGACTAATATCTCAAAGATTTTATACAAAAATATATTGCATATGATTAACAGTACCACTTTATGACAGCAGTGTTTGGTTGATGAGAATTAATAACAATGTCCTAGAGGATTGGTTTACCCTAGAGGACTGGTTTAATTATCTATGGTATAGCCCTACAATGGTGTAAAAAGATACCCGTGATCTTTGGTGAAAACACAGCGCAAACCAAATAGAGCATGAACCTGTCAATGTGAGAAATGTTCAAACCTGTAGAGAATTGATAAGAATTTATTTGAGTCAAACTGATGACAGTGCTGGAAAGCAAGATCTCAAGTGCTCTGGAGAATGACAGTTATGCAGTTTCTTTTTTAAAAACTCCTCATCCAAAGACATTTGTTTCATTGATTCCAAAGAGAAAGAGGAAGGGAGAGAGAGAGGAAAAGGAAGGGAGAGGGATATATATATACATATATATGTATATATACATATATATGTATATATACACACACACATATATCTATATATATATCAGTGTGAGAAAACATTGATCAGTTGCCACCCGCATGCGCCCCCACCAGGGATCAAACCCACAACCTGGGTATATGCCCTGATTGGAATTTGGACCCACAACTCTTTGGTGTACAGGACGATGCTCTAACCACTAAGCACACTGGTCAGGGCAGTTGTGCAATTTCTTTTCTAAATTTGGAGTTAAGGAGGGAACGTAAGGAAGATTGCATCAAAGTTGGAGAAAGCAAGTTGGGGATTGGATTACAGGACAGTGCGTTCTTGATTGTGGTTACAGCGTTTTTCAAAGGCGGGTTAACTTAGATGTATAAAAGCATGGACAAGGCTTGCTTAAGGAAAAGGTAAGCCTTTTACTAAAGAAGTTATGGGCCTGGGGCATGATTACCTACCATGACCTGCCCAGTTAGGATTTTATGATCAGATCATCGTGAGGTTACTTTCAGTTAGATTTATTATGGTGCCCCTTTACACCCACAGTTCCTTTTGCTAAAAGAAAAGGTATTAGCTCGTCTGGTGTGGCTCAGTGGATTGAGCGTCATCCCATGTACCAAGAGGTCACTGGTTCAATTTCTAGTCAGGGCACATGCCTTGGTTTCGGACTAGGTCTCTAGTGGGGGGCATTCAGGAGGCGGCCAGTCATTTCTCTCTCATTAATGTTTCTATCTCCCTCTCTCCTCCCTCTTTCCCTAAAAATCAATAAAAATATATAAAAAGTTTAAAAAAAAGAAAAAGAAAGGTAGTGTTGAAGAGGAAAAGTTTTCTTTCCCCTTCTTAGGGTCCCTTGCTGGGTCTGAAATTAAACTAAGACAGATTAACAGGAGAAAAGCATAAACACTTATTTAAGTTTTACATGATACGGGAGCCTTCCTAAGGAAATGAAGACTGGAAGAAAAGGTTAAACCTGAGTATTTTTATGCTAGGTTTGATGAAGAAGTGGACTTCTGTAGAGAAGTATGATAGGTTACAGAGTAACTGGGGGAAACTTAGCAAAGCCTGTTGGTTAGGATTCTTCTCAGAGCCTTTGTCTTTGGCGATAAAGAGAGCACATTTCCTCCCGGTACAGTGATGGTTCCTCTCATGTGAGGATTTATGACCTGTTTTTAGGGGGAAGGGAGTGGGGTAGGGTGGGAAGGTCAAAGTACCTTTCCTGTTTTCTCTAATTCCTTCAGTTTAAAATAGTCCATATGCCAAGGTGCCATATTTTGGGGTAGCATGTCCTGAACCCCATCAGTAGCACAGCGATTAAGAGTATGCCTCTTCTGGAGCCAGGCTGCTGGGTTTGAATCCCAGCTCCACCACTTTCTGGCTTTGTGACTTGAGTGAGGCTATTTAACCTATCTAGGCTTCACTTTCCTTATTTATAAAATAGATATAATAATAGTACCTACTCAATAGGGTTCTTAGGAAGATTAATTTTGTAAAGTGCTTAGAACTGTAGTGGGAGAGATGAAATACTGTATATGTAGTTTAGAAAATAAATCTATTCATCCATTTGTTCCACAAATATACATTGAGTGTTCATGTGCCAGACATGGATTTTGAGTCATGGAATCCATCAGAGAACAAGTCAGGTGAAGTCCCTGACTCACGGAACTTACATTCTAGGAGGAGAACCGTGTAGCAAATGGATTAATGTATGCCATAATTAGGGAGTAGTTTGCGCTCTGAAGAAAAATAAAGCAAGTTAAAAGGATAAGCGGTGATGTGGTGGGAATGGAACTGTTTAATACCGGATGGTGAGTGCTGACCTCTGATGAGATAACTTCGTCCTAGAGACCTGCGGGAGAACTGAGCTTGAGCCTTTGGTCCTGGGGAAAGGGAGGGGTCTGTGCGGAAGAGCGGTGTGTGTGATGGGATTTAAATTTAAAAAATAATCTGCTTGTAGTGCAGAGCCTTGGGAGGAACCAAGGGGTGGGGAGGATGGAGAGTAGGGGAAGGGCAATCTAAATAGAGTAGTTACAGAGGAGCCTATCGCTTGAAAACCATCAGGAGAGCCCTTGGCCCAGGGTGGCAGCAGTAGAGGGGTAAAAGATTGTATGAAGCGGTGCTGTGAACGTGGGAATCAATGGGACCTGGAGATGGGTGTAAAGCAGGTTAGCAACTACAAAACCTCCAAACAAGGTGTTCTACTTACCGGGAATAGTGTAGGACGAAACAAAAAGATAGGACTTATCACTGATTTCTTTTTTTTAACTTTAGTAAGGTAGCCTCGTAAAAACGAGGCCTCAAAAAATTGAGTGAAAACTCATAACTGTTCCTCTCCACGGAAATCTTTAGTAAAAGGCGAAAGATTTATGCGATCTGAAGAGAAACCAGAGTATGCTTCCGCGTTTCGGCTGGAACTTCTTAGAGCAAGCTACCCCTTAGCTCACTTACGGTTGCTCCGCTCCCGCGCCGTCCGCGCTCCCGCGCCGGTGTTTGTGTAGAGCTCAGCTCTGTCGCCCGCAGTGTGCCCGCGCGCGTGAGAGATTCCCGCGGGGCTGGAGCGCGAGCGCCGGGAACCGCTGTCGCGGTGCACCATGGGTATGCAAATCGCAGGCGGCGGGGCCGCGGCGCGGCTGCCCGACCCCCAGCCGCGGCTCTTCCTCTCGGAACCTGCGCCGCGTTCGCCGGGAGAAAGGGCTGTTGCCGCCGCTGCCGGGCGCTTACTTCCGTGCGGGGCTGGGATTAAGTCCTAATCGTTGAGGTTCAGTCCTGTCATTCCATACTCGCAGGGACCCCCCAGTTCTAGGGGCAGAAGGGGAAACTGTCCAGCACAGACGTTCACGCGCAGTGGGACCACGGGAGTCACACCCCCCCTCCCCCCGAAGGAGATGGCATCCAGTTTATCTGGAAGGATAGTTCAGTCAAGGGGAGGTGGAACAGTGCTAGCAGACGGGAAGGCCTAGGTGAACACGGAAAGTAATTCAGCTGGTGTAGAGCAGGGTGTGTCTAAATGAGGGCGTGTCTGGCGGGCGCAGTCACTGTCACCCAGAGAGCTGGGGGGGCGACAGAGGCTAAATGGAGTTGGGCCTGGAAAATGGCTTGGATTTTATCTTGTCAGTGATGGGGAGGGCTGGAAGGGAGTTAAAGTCGAGGGCTGAGGAGTGTGAGGTGCCACACAGGGTGCACTGCCCTGCAAGCAGTGGGCCCTGTCGCAGAGACTGGATGTGGTCAGTGCCCCAGGACGGGCATTCCTGCGGTTCGTGGAGCTCCAGCTGGCTGGAATCCCTTCAGCTGCTGCCATACCAGGACACAGCCTTCATTCCATGTTTCAGGGTTTTCCCCTAAGCATGCAATCAGAGCAAAATCTTTCAACAAAGCTAACATCTGTACAAACTGCAAAAACAGGGAGCACTTACGAAATGCCAGGTCATGTCTTACATAAATGACTTAATTTAAAATCCTGAAAGAAAAAGACAGCACCCTACAAGATAGACTAATCTTCCCATTTCACAGAGCAAGACACTGAGGCTCATGAGGTTAAACATACAGCTGGTTACTCAGCTGGTGACACAGTGGACTGACAGCTTTTGCACGTTCCAGTCTGGTGAGCTCTCCCGCTCCACTAAAAAGCCCCTCCTAGTGAACCAAACACTCCTGGACCAAAATCCAGCCAACCTCCACCCCTTGGATGTGTTGGATGAGCCCACGTCCAAGCCAACTACTCACTTCTCTTGTCTTTTTAGGTGTTTTAGTGTTGATTCAGCTGCATTAAACATATTTAGTTATTTTTTTCATTTCTGGTCAGAACATGATTATCTGGCCTTTGGGGCGGTGGGTGAGGTGTGAGAAGGC